TAGTAAGAGCTGTTAGAAAGAAAGAGCTAGATAATGTTTCAGGGGAATCTCTCCCCTCCCTCACTTATGAGTTATTTTAAGCTGAGGATCTCATGCATGGCACTGCTGCAGCCAGGTACCTCACTGATCCAGACCTTGAATTCCTGGCTAGAGGTTGGATCTGCCTCATCACCAGAGACTTCTCTGGTGATCTGGACTCCAGGCAGAGCCTGGTTACCATCAGCAGTACTGTTCTGCTCTCCTTGGTCAGGTTCTGTGCAAATGGGCCCTTTTCTGGCCAAGTCATTGCCTCTGCTTGCCTTGTCACTGTGCTCAGCTCCTGCCTCCCCTCGAGGAGCAGCCTTCCCCTGCTGCTGCTGGACACTAGGTACCGAGCACAAGATACAGGTGTAAGAAAACTGTCTGATGCTCAAGCATGGTGTGTGGGCACACATTAATCACTGCTACATGCTCAGGTGCACAAGCGAACACTCATCTAGGCATCTTACAAAAGGTAGCCACACTCCTCCTCTAAATGTTAAGTACTAGCCGTCAGTAGGAGCAGGATGAGTGTCTTCATATATTTACAAGTTGGACTGACTACATCAAACTGTGATCTTCTGAAAAGTATTTTATAGGATTTTATCTTTCACGTAATTTCTCCCTGGAACAGGAACAATGAAGAACAAGCTTCACAAAAATAAGCCTACTGGTGTTTAAGGGCCAGACACACTGATGCAGAATTTCCTTAAGATTGAAAAACAAAAGCAGAGCTGTAGCAGAACCAAACACAAGCCATTAGATGGGAAAATGAGAGCATGAGAAAGAATACAGAAAACAGGGAGAGAATGAACATCACAGGAATGAAAGATAAAGCTGCTTCCAGACAGACAGTTCTTAAGGTTCAATGCTTTATGTTGTTTTGTATTTAGAACAAATCCCATATAACAGAAGATTAGAAAACAGATGGGAGAGAAGAAACACAAAAATGTTCAGGTCTACTAAATCAGAACTGAGGTTGGAATATGGCTGCAGACAGTGGAAGAAGCAACATACCTTGTTTTGGGGTTGGGTTGACGCAAAGGAGGTTTGCTTCCAGCTGTGAAATGCACCACTCCAGCTCATCTTGGAATGTGCCTTTGGGAGCCTTGGACATGGGACGGGGGAAGGCATAATGTTTAAAAAAAGCACAAATCTCTCACCTGTGAAATTGATTCCAAAACTGAGTTTTCTGAAGCCCTCTCCCTCTTATGGGAGATCAGACTAGCAGGTCATAAACCCCTTTTCTGGCTTTACGCTTGAGGTGTGTTTTGTAACTAATCCCATTTATACCATAAATCAACACAGCACAGGGTGGGACACATGCCCTGCCATATTGCCTATTTGAAGGGCACCAAATGAGCCCTTTTCATTACAAAAATTAGAAACTGCTACTCTTACTAGCGGTAAATCACCCACACCTGGCAAGCAAGGACTTCCCACAGGTTGGTTTTTTTTTTTTCTTCTCATCTTCCCTTTTTAAAGGCCTCAAATGGAAGATTTCTCATTTTTCCTGAAGCTTATTCTATGGCATAATATGTCTCCACAGCAGGAAATTTCCCTCCAGCGCAGCTCGAGCAATACACAAAATTTATCTTTATGCTAAACACAAGTCCTTAAGACTACCTTTGCTGTATTTTAACCCTGCCCGCCTCCTGCTAAGCAGGTGGAAAGTAAGGCTTAGAAGTCTGCCTGTGAACAAGACAGAAAGTGAAAAAACCTCTTGCCTTAGCAGAATAACGAGGTGACCAGGAATTGGGAAAGGCAGGCACAAGTGCTAGGGAACTCCTTTAAAGAAAACCTGCCGGGAGCGGGGGACGCTGCGGGGAGACGGGTGCCTCGGCAAAGGGCCGGCGGAGCAGGGGGTACCTCAGAACAGAAGGCAGAGAGGGGGCCGAGCAAAGCTCTTACCCGCTCCATGCTGGGCAGTCTCCGCGCCGCCACGGAGAGGAAACCGGGCCCCTCTGCCACCACCCACCTCCGGTCACGGAACAGCCT